TGGCTCGGAGGCCAGGCTGCCCGGCAACGGTATAATAGCGGTGCCCGAAGGTTGAACAAACAATTAAAGGATTACATTAGTTCAAATAATAGATTTAGTTGTTAATTTACTATCTTAATATCAATTTTCATGTCTTTTTTTTTCCAAATCACTCAAAGTCACTGGAACTCTCATGTGGCTTCTCGGTGTATGTGCACTGTTTCCTGCACAGCTGTATTGGCTACGTGGCTGTTACAGAGTTGCATTGTTTTTTGTCATTTTTGACGCACCCGTCCACCTTTTCACATCCCGGGGGGAATGCTATGAAGCATGCAAACAGGATGTATTTGTAACATTTGCACTAACCCTGCTAGGTTTATCCCACACCTCGAAACACTATGTCAAAATACGTTTTAGAGGATCCATTCACTACAATTCCAACTGTTTAATAAAATGCAAAGTTTCCATAGAGTTCTTCTAGCAAAATTGATATTTTAATGCTCTTTGTTCTTTACATTTAGTGATAGGTCCAAGTGATGCTCTTAAGCGTAATTTTAGTTGGACACCTTGATATTTCACTATTTGATAGATAGCACATCCAAAGATTCAGAAGAACTCAAACTGCCAGAATTCCATTTTGTTAATGTATTGATAGGAGGCTCATCACGTAAAAAGATAAATAGAATTTTATTGTTGAGTTGCATGCAGTTGCCTATTCAGGTTAAATGTGAACGTGCAGCATGGTTGATGGAAATAAGTCAGTTTCTGCCCAAATTTATATTTGGGAAGGTAAATACTCAAATGAAAGGCTTGATGCACCGGAAGATGATTATCAATGCTACGTCGAAAGGTCTTCCTGTTGATGAGGCCACACCCAGAGTGAGTGTGCCTCTGTTGGTGCTACATCGAGCCACTCCCTTCAGGTGGCTTGACAGCTGGCCTAAGTGACCCCTTCGCGATGAGTAAAGAGGCACCTTTCTCTCGGACTGAACTTTGTCAGTGTTCCAAGGGGAGGAGAGGCAAATCCGCCCAATTCATTGATCATTATTCCTTCATTTCGCAATAAATTAACTATCTCTCGTATCATGTCTTTCAATGACATTTGGGAGAACTGAATGGGCTCTAATTTCGCTTCAATGTCGCAGAGTCCTGTAATTATCCAACAAACCGATACCATCAGGTACAGCTCTGATGGGGCATCTACCTTCTGTGACTTCATTCACTCTGCCGACGTAAAATCACTTTTAATAAAATGCCTTAGAAAAATGGCTCATTCCGTCTATTTTTATATTTAAAGTATGAATTCCACCTGAAAACTTGTGAATTTCTACTAATTTTATGGTTTAAAACTTCCTAGCTGCAGATGTAGACAATTTTAGAGGAATGTTGAATTTCGTCTGATGAACTACTATTGTCTGTCAAGTAAGATTTACTTAATGATTAACACATTCCGTCAATTTTCCCACTGATGCACTCAAAATCGTCATTTAAAGCACCTTCATCTCGTGTGTCCAACCATCATACCACATTATACCACATGCGAACAATTGCAGTTCTTGCAATCCTTTTAAATGCAATGTATTTGGGCTAAGCACTTTGGCTATGTGTATTATGCATACTCCTCCCTACAGACTTGCAAACGAGCTTCAACAACGCAAGCTGTCAAGAAGCATTATCGTGAGTACTCTTTGACAAAATAAATGACTTCGATGTCCGTATTTTCAATGATTAATGACATTTTGCAATGCCAAAGGTTCTGTCTTTTAAAAATAGTCTTACACAATTCTCATCGTTTGTAACGAAGTACGGACACAGCTGATTTATTTCTAAGGTTATTATTAAATTTTGCTGACCTTAAACTTTGCATTCCGAAATTTTTTTTGTGATTTTTGTGTTTCTGCCCCCTTAATTATCCAATCATTAACTGTAAAACTCATAAGTATCGTGTCTTGTTTCCTTTCTTTTTATGAATCTCCTAAAGTAGTCATGTGTTACTGAGATGTGCTGAGCAAGTAGAAATAAGTGAGATGGGCTAATTTCTAAGTCTTAGCATACTAATAAATGTAAAAATATGGTAAATATTGGTGCCTATGTAATATTATGCTGTTTATTTGCTTCATTTTAACGATAAATTTAAACCGGAACTCAGCTTCAAAGCAAAAAGGTGAGCTTGCAATAATTCTGTAACAAAGTGGCGTTAATTAGTTACTGAAATGAGATATAACTAAAAGTGGTGCACCAAGTGGCATTGCGTTGGTACATTGGTAGTGATTAGGGAGGCAAGAGCGTCAGGTAAAACAGTAAAATACTTTTTTTCAATTGGATTCAACTATATTTTTACTTAAAATTATGTTTCTTTTTGAACGACAAAAAGCATATGAAAGGAGCATCATTCCTCAGTTTATTAAATTCATCGCTCTTTGTGAAATTTATGTTTTGCCGTATTGTAGCACATCGGCACCCCCCTGAAAATGCAAGAATACATAAGGCTCGGGTAGAGTATATATATTCACCACACAGCAGGGCTTGTAGCTACTAGTGTGTCCCGGAGGCCAGCTCATCCAGCGAAGGTGCAATGGTTGAAATCCCAGATGGCCTTTCACCAAAACCGATAATTAAACAAACGGCCAGCGCATCACAATACACCATTGGCATTTAGTATTTTCTTATTTTAATCCGTGACCTCATATTAGCAGAAAGGAAATAAGTCGAGTAAAATTAATGATGCGATCGTTTTAGACAAAGGAAAATATTTTAGCGCACAAAATCACAGGCGGTTGCTTGACAACGAAACATCTGTTTAAGAAAACAAAAAATCCTTTTCTTAAAAGAGTCGGTACGCGTCTTCTTGCGTAAAATATAAAGTAGAACTACTCTAAAGAACTGCCTACAACCTCGATATGGTCCATGATGCAACTACATGCGCTCTCAAATTATCCTCATTTATATCGGTCCTGGCATCCTTCGATGTTGGACACCGGGGCGCACCTGACACTATTGCCATGTTTGGTGATAATTCTCCTAGTTTGGAGAAGGAGAACACTATTCAAATGATTATATCATTTCAAACTTCATGGGATACTTGATTTTGTTTATTAAATACTTCAGTCGGTCAAGGCAAAACCTACAGTATATGGGCTGTCATATTTTTTCCAATGAAATTTGTATATTTTATCCTTGTTCATCTTCCTTCTGGTATTTACAACTCAAGGTATCTGACAAGCTATGTTTTTGGTAATATGTAATCAGCTAGAATGCTTTTTGTAGCAGAAGACTCGAAACGTCGTTGTCTCTTTGAGGGCAAAGAATCTGACGATATTTGGAAGGACACTACAATGATTTGTTGGGGAGACTACCAAAACGATACGTTGATTCAATAAGTATATTAGATTTGGAACTTTTAAACTAAAGCTGAAAATGTATGAAATATTGTTAACCGTTGGACTACCTAAGCTTACAAAAACCTCGCCCTTTGATAAATGATGCAGTCTGTAAATGTCAAAAAACAAGTTTTGCTAAAAAAACTTTAAGAAGTGTACTTATGCTATTCTAATGTTGCTTACTCTTGAGAAGTTCTTGCAATCCATATTTACAAGTTGGTTTAACCTTGAGGGAATTCTTTATGTATAGGGGCTTCAGCTTGTGCTAACCGGAATAGAAGTGCCATACATCTATAGCAATATTTACTTCGCAGAAAGTGCAGCAATTAATTTGAATTTCTGATTAATATTTAGCAGAAAATACGTGTCAAGGGGTAACGTACGTAATAGACCTTTGCATAGCCCATCTAAATTTGATCTCTTTTGGTTATTTCACTTTGCCATATCTTTCTTAGTAACTTCTGCATATATATTGTCTTTTTCATATAATCTTTCTAATATATCTTTTTAGACACCAGCTAATATACAACTGTCAGGCATTCTGTCGTGCAAACTTCCTCTTCGAGGCTGAATTTGGGTCTCCACTACAAAATAGACACTTTAATTTCTTTTGAGATGACATCAGTTTCATATTTTTGAAGACTTTTGTAAATTCAACTTCCAGGAATTATGTGAAGTGAATTAGAGGTTGTTTTATGGAAAGTTTTGGATGCTGGTGAGCATACGAACAATATCTGGTAGCAGTGAGACCTTATTTCTCCTTTTCACACACCAAAGATATTTTACTAGCTGTTTTCTTAAGACTTACTTTTAGTAGCTCGTTATTGTGCTGGCATCAAATGAATCCCATAATTTTAGGCATTAAAATGCGAAATATTAACAGCTCGTCCCTAATATCTGAGTGCACAGCTGAGTCAACGTGGAATAATTCATTCCAATGCTATTCACCCCGCATTAATATAAATAAGCAATAATTTCCAGGTTCAGCTTCTTTATAAAACTCTGCAAATAATAGAGTTTTAACAATATGAGTGTTTTTTTTTACAGATTCATCCTAAAGTGGAAATTTTGCCCATCTGTGCAATTAGAAGTTCTGGAAAAATCCTCCCTGAAATGCTAGGAGTGCCGATTTTTCGAAGCATTGGAAAATTAATTTCCGGTGGAGACGAGGAGGAAGATTTGACAAAGGTCACTTCTGTCGCCGCGTGCTCCCTTAAATCACTCTACAGTGATCGGCGGGTGCACAGAGCCGCAGGATGCCGAGTTAATGCGCCCGTGTATTGCCTCTCCAGCCGCGCAGTTTCCTCACTGTCTTTTCGTTGTTGTAAAACGCTTTTGAACAAATCATTTAAATGCGTCTCGCCCACTTTCCACACGAAAGTTTCGAAAGTTAGGATAATGCCCCTACACGATTCTACCGTTGATATGCAGACAGAGAGCTCAATAAGAATCTGACATTACTAAAGAATTGCATGTTGATAGATTCCTTTTCCTTTTATAATACAAGTATGAATCGGTTTTACTTACGAAGCATTCGTAGCTTGTGGCGATGGAAAAAATTCTACCTTTAATCAAAACTGATCACTCTCAAAGAGGAGCGCTTTATTGAGATGAAATATTTTTTAGAAAAGCCAGACTCAATATTTTGAAAGTGTAAAATGTTTTTTAGCAAAACTAGTAAAAAATTCCCATTATTTCCATTTTTGATGTAATAGTTGAAAGCCAATACCTGTTTTAACAACATAAATTGCTAAGCGTTTTTGGACCTTACAGAGGTATAAGAAACTGTCTATTTGGAACGACTTTGAGGTGAAGCTATTCACTTATGTCCTCACCTGCTGTACACGCTATTGCTATTTTGCTATGCCCATGATAATCATCGGAAGACCTATTTTCTTTTGAAATGCACTTTTGAAAAAGTGCTCGTTTCGGGGTGATTTTTATTCGATCTTCACTTTTTCCATGCACGCTGCAAAAATATTTCACATGAAGTTCTCTCTCCGAATACCGCTAACATAAATATTAAGTAGCAAATTAATTACCGAAATTTCGGGTTTTTTAAAGAGAAGTGAAAATTTTGCGTCAGGAGCTCTTGAATGGGAGTGTGATCTACTTTGGCTTTTCTGAAAAGCCTCGATAAATGGTTTGTTTTCACGGATTTCACTAAATTTCAGTATTTTAATAACTGATCTGGGAGATTTACTCAGCTAATGTCGTCGTCAAAAGTCAGAAAGTGTGGTCCTTACTGAGTATTTTAGTACGAAATGCGACAATTTTTGAGATACTGAAATGCACTTTTACTTTAAAAACACGATGGTATTAACAACGTAGGCGTACAAAATTAATTCTGTTGTTGTATTTTAAATAATTAATCCTATTGAGGTATCTGGAAAATTTTATTCAGCTTTAATGTGAAACCGACACTAAACGTGATACTAATTTGTGCCAAAAGAATGTTTGTTGTAAAAATAATCGTGCGCCATTACGTTATAATATCACTCGACAAGGACATAAATTAATATCCAAGTTATTCTAACTTTAGCATGAAATTGTTATTACTTTTCTATGCTGTTAGAATTCAGTCCTAGAAGGAAATTTCGTTCTTAGTCAGGACAAGTAGTCGTGCTAACCTTGTAAAGAAGCTCCCGGTATCTACGCGATAACATTACAACAGTATCTCATATGTAAAAAGTGTCAAAACATAGCAGTAAATGGCCGATGTTTTGTCGCTATATACACAGAAAAATGGTCCAATTTGCGTTTGTTTTACCCTCGGTTTTGGTTCAAAATCCAATTAGAGTTTCCGCCATTGTACCCTCGCCGGGTGTGTTGGCCTCCGGGTCATGCCAGTAGCCCACAGCCCTCCTGTTTGACGAAACTGTACATTCTGCCCCAGCATTATGTCTTCTTTCGTCTTCAGGGAAGTTCCGAGGCCCTACACTAATGGCAGTGGAAAGCGAAGGTGATCATAAAGGACATCAATCTATTACTGGAGGATAAACCATAGTGGGGTGGAATAACTGCATATGTTGCGGATGAGGGGAGGAGTAACGACACCCAAGATAAGGGTTAAACACGAAGTCTACCTTTGGAAACTACCCCATGAAAGCTAATAAGGACGGAAGCCGTACAAGCCGTGAAACCATTTGCTAAAATTTCGTTAGCGTTAGTGTAAAAATGTCACATATGTGAAAACGCGATATTTGCTCCACTTCTCTACCATTTGAGCAGCACACAGATAAGTTGGCTGGGCAGCCCTGAAGTGAAAACGATATGGCAAGGAGGAATAGAAGCGAAACTCTTCTCCCTCGGAACTATGTTTAAACTCGCCCTTTGTCACATGACTTTGCATTTAAGACAGCGTTCCTACAACCAGCCATGGATACGCGTGTTGGTCAGCACATTTTCTCGTCTACGGATCCCTTTCCATACAGGACACAACACCTGATCTAGCAGAATTATCAAGAGAAATCAGTGACGTTGCAGTCAGATAACTCCTCACTTGCCTAAAAATTCGATGACATGCACAACTGGTTCGTGGGTGCTTGCTTACAGCGCCAATTACGCTGTGAGGACCAAGGCGAGCACTGAGGACGACGCTCGGGGAGGGACGATGTAATACGTTGGTTGTTTGTTTAATTTTCGGTTTTGGTGAGAGGCCACTTTGTACCTTCATCAGGTGGGCTGGCCTTCGGGTAATGCCAGTAGCCACAAGCCCTGATGTCTGGCGATTAGATATGTTCTGCTTAAGTATTACATATTTGTTCATTTTCAAACATAAAATTTATATTGGGGACGTCCCAAATGCAAAAACTGCTAACACTTTAAACAGGGGTCCTTACTCGAGCCAATGGTGATTGAATTTTGGTGCTATTTTGAAACGTTTAAATGGCATTTTTCGACAAATAAAGGTGTCGAAAAATACGCTAGCAAAGGATTAGCGAAATGCTAAAAGTTGGCCACTGTAGCAGCTCTGCTCTTTTCTGAGGTGGTAATAAGGCAGAGTAGCACAAGAGACCACATTACTATGGAAAAGGAGCTAGGATTATGGTAGCATGGCCATAACGTAGATGGAAATTTTATGTAATATGATGGCGGTTTATCTCTCGGTATTGGTGAGGCGCCACTTTTGTACTTTGAATTAGCCCTCTTGTGCCTCGCCGGGTGGGCTGGCCTTTGGGCCATGCCAATAGCCCAAACACCTTCTCTGTGCTAAATGTATATTCTGCCCGAGCATTGTGTCGCCTTTCCTCTTCAGGGAGTCCCGGGAAGCTACATTTACATGCAGGCAACCAGAGTATTAAATCAACAAAATAATAGCCTGCATGTAGCTCTTATTCTAGCATTTGTTAGTCGCGTTAATTTTAGTAGGAATACCTACTTTCATTTGATGTCAATCCGATATTTACATGTCCTTGGACATCAAGGGCCGTGACTCCTTCTTTGTTCGATTCAAAATAAATTATCAATACTTGACATGTGACCTTTTTGAATATTTTTTTGCGATTCTACCCCACGCTTCAGCTTATATTTTCTCAAAAAGTGGTCTACGGCATCATTAGCAGGGTAATTATTCGACACAGCATTCCCGCCTACCTAGTGACCCGCCAGAACTCTTTACTCTTATATGATGTTGGTCTTTTGTAATCCTTTACCCTTGTCTGCTGATTTTGTGGTATTACCTCCATGCCATTTTCCTTTGGAGTCTGTTTAACAGAGCGGAGTTTTGTGTGAATTATCCCAAACTTATTCGTTCTAACTAGACTCATTCGGTACTAGTACTGTTGTGCATATGAAGCAGGTTATATCCGGTTGCTCTTTACCAGCTTATTCTATTAGCATAAGTTCGCTGCACCTACGTTGCATCGATTTACTTCTTCTAAAATGTGTTTCTGGCAATGTTGTAATCGACTAAGTCATTTCAGAGCATGCTTCTGGGCTTCCCGCGTCACCCTTTTCCATCACAATCTCGGGTATTCAACGCACTAAGATCGTACTCTTCTGAAGGAATAGCATCTCGATCGATGCGGCGAAAGGGCAAAGGCTCACAGAGGGAGCAAGACCGCTTTCAATCAACACCATCAATCGCCCCATCCACAAGGTTCCTTAAATACTCATCCTAACTCCATACTATACTAGGCAACTTCTTGAAGACTTCCTCATGCCAGAAAGTCAAAGGATTGAAGGAAAGCAAAACAGTCTCAAGAGTTCAAATTCGGCGGAATATTCCAGTGGTGAAGAAACAACTCAGGGCACGCGTTCTACCGGGCGCCTACCCAAAGCACGAGACAAGGGCGCCATTAAATTCGCGTAAGCTGGTTTGCTTTCACTTTACAATCGTGCAAAAGCGATCTCCTCCGTGACTTTGTAACCACAAAAGGGCAGCCGTTAAGAGAACTCGCTCTGGTCACTACTCGACCTCCACGCCGGTCTGCCCGAATTCGCTATATGGAACCGTAAGTCCCGTTCTTTTTCTATCACAATTGCTTTTAAGACTCCCAATCCCGGCGAAGCTGAACCTCTTTGACAAAACACCACTCGAAGAACCAGGTAGCCCTGTCTGCTATATAAGTTGCTCTTTTTTTCCACAGCGGCTGCGGACGATTCCTACAACAACGAAGTCTTCAAGGAAATTGAGGCGCTGGAAGCCTCCGCTTATCGTGCTAAGTCGACGCATAATAAGTTCGAAGAGCTCATCCAGTGGACTCTGGATGGAAAACTTTGGCGATATCCCATTGACAATGAGCAAGGTACAAATTTAAACCCATAAATTCTTTACTATTAAATAGACTGGAGTGAAGAGCTTGATACACCTTTCCACGAGCACATCTTTCTAAATCGGTTTGCCAGAAGCCAGGTCAAAGCGAAGAATCCTGCTCCGCTGGAGGCCTTCATGGAACTGGTGTGTGCCGGTCTAGGCCAGAATCCTTACCTTAGCATTAAGGAGAAGAGAGACCACATAGCCTGGTTTAAGGGATACTTTGCCAACAAAATGAAGGACATCGAATCCGCCGTCGAAGAGGAGAGGCGCACCGCCCAAGCCGAGTCAGAGACCCGGGGGACGAAGTCTTGCTTGTAATCTTCGATCAATCCACTCCTGTATGCACGGGGTCCAGTGGAACTTCACCGCAGCGGCCGCTCAGCTGTCTACAAACATTAGCGACCGGAGTCCACCAAGGCTGTACAGTCGCCCACCTTATCACCATGTCGCTTTTTGACCCATTCAGTCAATTCCTTGCCAAAATAGCCGTCGAAAGCTAACGATAAGTATGGTCAGTCCAATCTTTGGCACGAGTGAAGGGAACGGTGGCCCAGCATAAAGTACGATGGGTAATACCTTTCCTCGTAAAGCCGAAGGGACGCTGGTAAGTGGGCCTCCGGTCGTGGCCCACCAACCAATGTCATATGGGTTAGCATCCATAAGAATATGAGCAACGGACCCTCCAGTAAGTGTTATTAAAATTCAAGTGTTAGGCCCCTTACGTTGAGATGAGAGGTCTATAGATTTGCCACTGATACTTGGCCGACAGAACTGCTGGCCAATGGGAGCAGTGGAGGTGGGTGGACAGATGTGGCAACAGGACCAGGAAAGGGGTCGTGCGTATGTTTTTCACGCTTGTAACGCCACATTAGACCAACGTGGCTGACTCGCGTGAGGTAAAAGCAGTTGATGACCGGAGGAACAATCCGACCCCCATTCATCGTGCTTGTGACATTACAGTAGAAGCTAAAGTAGCCGATGTGCGTGGGTGTCCAAGAAAGCTGCCAGTAGCGAGCACCGGTTTGCCGTGTTGGTAAAACGATATAAGAATAGACACACCGCGGAGGTTACAAGCACATCGCGGCTGGACTATGGAACCAGTCAAGCTGACCTTCGCTTGATAGGCTTAAAGTCATATTAACATGGGATAGTAATCGGCTGGCATAAATTGCTCATAAACCGTGTGATGGGTAGGCGAAGAGCAAAAAATTAGTACCGACAGACATGAATTAGATGGATTACATCTACATTTACTCTTCATCCTCTTCTTCATCGCCATCGCCACTCTTCTTAGCCTTCTTTCTTGCAACACGGCCGAGCTTCCCAGCAGCAGTGTTGAGGCTCACATCAATATGCTTAGCGGAATCGAGGCGCACCATGAAGCTTGGACAATCAACAAGCTGCTTACGAACACGGATGTGCCGCTGACGAATCAAGACACGGGCGTGGTGAATCGACCGCGCAAGACCCATTTTGTAGACTTGGGTTTGGAGTCGACGCTCAAGGAAATCCTCAATCTTGAGACCCAAGACGAAATCCAACTTCATTTTGTCCTCAGGAAGCACGCCCACACGAACAAGACGTCTTAGAAGTGCGGAACCTAAGAGACATTCGAATTTCCAATTAAACACTATTCATTCGAAATAGTCCTCAAGACCACGAGGGTGGCCAAGGTACTTACAGTACTGGGTTCATAAAAAGCAGTATTACTCCGCCCAAAAAAGTCTAACAGAAACCCACCTTCAAACAGTCTCCGAGGGTCGCGTTCATCGAGGGTCAGCAATTCACGAGCAGCCTTGCGAATCTTCGCGAGAACCAGCTTGACACGCCATACCTCTCGCTTATTCCTCAACCCGTACTGACCGATGATTTTCAACTCCTGATCCAAACGTTCCTTTTCATAGGGACGACGCGGAGTTGTGAATGTTTTTGAGTATACTTTAGGCACGCGGCTCATCCTCTGCACGAACTCACGTCAGGCATTAACCTTCAAGCAAGTGAAGTAGGCGCAAATTTAAACAAAAACGTTCTGATTATCAGAACTGGCATAAGGAATTGAAGTAGATAAGAGCAAAGAATAGCCACTCTATAATTCATACTATTTTTAAAGTTATTTTTTAAGACTTTGCATTTGTGATGTTTAGGCATAATGAGCCATTGCGATTGTCATTTAATGAAATATGCATTTATTTGATCACGACTTTAAATCAAACAACTAGCTTACAATTTTGCTCAAATATTAACAGAAAGTATAAGTTATAGCAAATCGATTTAAATATTCTGCACTGTTGCGCTCAATTTAGAAAAAAACGTTGTTCTTTGGGGCCATGAGATACTCGTTGGTATTTCACTGGGATAACTTGAGGATGTAGAAAACTATTTAAACCCACACCTATAATTTTAGGTATTTACTGCTGCTTAGTCAATGGTTTATCACAAAAATTGTGCATAAGTTAAGAGAATTGATCTCTGCAATGCATCAGGCTGTGCCCATTTGAAGCTAATTTAGCCATCCCCACATCACAGTTTTGATATTTATTGTTACAGCAACGTGCAACTCATGGTATATTTATCTAAGTAAACATAGCTGGGTATCGCGCCTGTTAAGTGTACATGAAGAATGCCGTAGCAATTAAGTAATTTATCAATGCTGAATAAAGCTTAAGCTACCTGCATGAGAATAGGAACATTCTCTTTTTTACTTCGCTTTCTTATATTTTACCATATCTAACTGATTTTTTTGACTTTAGACATCAGTATTGGTAAGTTTTTGCCTTTCCTATCCCTCATTGCCCTCCCATTGCATACATACAAAAGGTAATCTAAGATCATAAGGTTCAAACTCATTTCATAATAGATGAGGATGAAAAGAAGGATTATTGAAAGGTTGGAAATTAATTTCATGCAGAGACGCTAATACACACGCTTCAGCTTAGCGGCACACTTTATGAGGGTGGAGATCGTGGAGGTCGGGTGATGGTGGTGCTAGGAGGGTGGGAAATAAATCAGGGTAAAGTAGGCGCTAGAAATTACCTCGGCTAAACATAATCAAAATCTACGTGATGTGGGTGTGGAGGGTACCATAGAGTAGTCCGGGAAAAATCAATACAGGTTGCGCCTAACTGATGACCGCAGTTTTCGGCGTCGAGCCTCGCCATCAACGAGGGGAGGTGCATTAAAAGGATTTGATGTGGGTGGCGGAGCTGGAAGAAGGGAAAAGCACCCCTGAACAATTTTGCATTCCTGTGCGCCCCTAGTGAGGGGCTGATAGGGTGATGACTGTGGAAGTAGGGTGGAGAGGTGCGGTGAGGAACATCGTGAGGAGTCAGTGGATGCAGATGACGTAACTGAGGGATAGCTGTTCTCCTCAAGATCACTGGTTAGGCAATCATTTGTGTGGTCCATTTGAGAATCCTGGCTGTCCAGTTGCATCTCTTCGTAGTAGAGGTTGTTTGAGCTGGAGTTGTAGGGCAATTGAGGTGTATCGGCCGTCGAAATGTTTATCAGGCTCATTGAATCGTGGTTTATGTCTGTGGATAAAGTCGGAGGTAGAAACTTGTATTAATAAATAGTTATTGGCATGAACAACCTTTACAGTAATCTTTGCAAAACTGGACTATGTAATTTTTACTACAATCAAATAGACGTACATAGATGGGTGCATGAATAAAGTGCCGGAGCAGTGAATTATCTTTCATATCAGTCCAAATCAACTAAAGTGGATTTTTTTTGTAAACTTTCCTGTGATAACGCATTTTGTTCATGTTCAATCCAGATTGGTGTGCTTGCCAACTTGTAAACGAAATTATAAAAGGAATAACAATGCTCCGTACACACTGTAGGACCTGCGTAAAATGTGTAAGTCAAGTGGCACATATTTTCTAGTCGCCTTCTCCATCTCATTTTGCAATAGCTTTTTTTATCCAAGTGATTGCTTATTTTGATTTCGTTATTTTCAAAAACCAAAATGAAGAAATGCTTTACCAAGGTCCATTTCATTATAGAATCAAGAAATACTTATTCATGATGCTTTGGGTACCATGCTTTTGGCATTGCGGGACCAATAAGCCAAAATGTCAAAAGGTTTGAGGTAGCATTTTATAGCCTTGGAAATGGAAAGTTGAATCCAAAATCGGTAGCAGTTGACTAAAATTAACCATTCCACAATCTTATTTTAGGTAGTCCAAGTTCAATATAATCGTTAAGTTTTCTTCTAATTTATCTGACCTGTTTAACCACTGAAAACGTTAAGGTTGGAATATTTTTGCATAAGCATGATTTCACAGTTCTTTTATGCTACTCAGATACCCTCATTTTACCCCCAAATACAGAAGAGATAAGGCGAGGTAATGGGTATTGCGGTTTTATTGCGTAATTTTTCAATTCAGTGTACATTGAGAGCCAAGTAAACGAAGAAGAGAAGCCACTTTCGGTGGCATTTAAGTAGACTAAAGGATCTGAGCGGAGTATTGAAAAATTTACCCAATGTACCTGTTCACACCTTTGCCTCGCCTTATCTCCTTCCTCCTTATTCTAACCGCACACCCAGTGCTCTACTATTTAGTTACGCACTTAGCATGGTACTGGCAGCTTACTCGAGGAATACTATGAACCGTCTTGAAATACATATTTCTCAAGTCAGACAGTTTTTTAAATAAATTTGAATCGGTTTCTCTGGCCTAAAATTGTGTTCCAATTAATCTGGTCCCACTGGTAACATTTACTCCTTGCCCCTCGTGACAACAGAAAAACAGAAAAGCCACCACAACATCAGTAAACACCGGAAGGACTAATAATGGTTAAAAACATCCTATGCATGTTAGATAATAACTTTGCTACCAACTTAATTTCATCTTGTTTGAATGGAAAGGTTTGTAAACATTTAATTTATAGTACACTTGACTGGACAACCATAAAAGTTTTTTCGAGTTAAGCGTAAAGTTGTGCCATGCTTACTGGTGTTGGCCTCGGATGGTGACATCGTCCGCAGGTTTGTGGGAGTGCCTGGGGCGTTTGAGTCGGCGGTGAGGCCCCTCTGTAATGGAGCCCCGTCTTCGCCGAAAATTGTGGTGGTCTGGTTGCCATTCGGTTGTGGATTCACAAACTTGGTGACAAGTCTTTGGTTCCTAAGGGTGCAGGCACAAGTTGCGCTAGCAGGGAAGGTCAACGGACGAATCTCTATGCATTCGCGTGTTTTAGTGTCAAACCGCTCCACTAAACTGAGAATACCCGCTTCCGGTTCATCTGACCATCCACCGATGATGTAGATGTCATCTCCAAGTACAGCGGACGAGAGGTTACTCTTTCGTCGATTCATCTGTCCTACTATCTCCCACTTTCCTGTGGTAGGATCAAAACGTTCGATACTGCGGAGTCGGGTATTTCCATCGTTGCCACCAATGGCATATATGTAACCCTCATGAGCTACAAGGGATATGCCACCTCTAGGGGAATGCATGCGGCTTATAAGAGTCCACTGATTCGCGTCAGCGTCGTAGTATTCGGCAGAATCGTGGTATCTACGCCCCTCGAAACCACCCGCTACATAGACTCGATTGTAAAGCTCCGCTGCTGCGGCGTCGCTGCGAATGCGATTCATAGAGGCAATTGGCTGCCAGAGATTCTCATCCAGGTTGTAGCGCTCAGCTGTATCCAGACGACCTTGGTTTTCCCCATTATGTCCTCCTAGTGCGTATATATAGCGGGAAGCGTAGGCCACGCTGACATAATATCGCTTCTCGTACATACAGCTAATTTCATACCTATAGATAAAAAAGTAAGCAGATTTTACAATTTGCGATTATGTCAGAATTAGTTTCCTACTCTCACTAACTATAAATATCTGTCTGAGTCGCTTTGTGATTAACTGCTGATTTTCACCAAGCGACAGCATTCAACACCTTAGGCATCAATGTCTGCCACCTTTTAGCACTGACTGGTAGCAGCATGATTTCATGAAGACTCTCATGTGACAGCAAACTATGTGAAGACTTACCTGGTGCGTCACATTCCAGGTAAATGCGTGTACAAGACTTTAAGAGATTGCTCAGGCAAGGGCCTTTTTGTGATTTTAATGAAATAAGTGCCATTCAACTGTTTTCTATGTACTTTTATTTTCACTTTTCGAGGTTAGCATAAATATGCCGCACTTCTTAAATTGATAATTAGTAGTCCTGAAAAGGAGTGATTTATCAGCCTACCATTTTTGTAATTTTAAATTAAACTTGCATGTAAGAATGTAACTAACCATCCCGAATCTAGTTCAAAGTCGTAACAGAGGGTAGATTTAAGCGCATTGGTCCCATCGAATCCTCCAACTAAGTAGACTCGATTTCTCACCAGCACACAGCCTGCGTACACCCGCCGTGGAATTTCACCTATGAGACAAGAGATCTCATTGGCTCCAATGAGTCTCTCCTCGCATCGGTAGAGCCCCTCAGGAAGTTCACCAGGTGGGCGAGAAGCGGAGATTGCGCCGTCAGCCCCCATTTGAGCGGCGGAATCATCAGGACGGAGGTTGTTCAGCCATTCGTAGCGAGGGCTCTGAGTCTGGCAGCCCATCTCCGTCCACAAGGTCCAGGAGTTGCTGCAAGGACTGAAAATCTGGGCTGCTGCACGTGGACCCTCGCCGTCACACCATCCACCAAATACGCAAAGAACCTGAATGAGGTGTGGAATTCAAAAATGTTTTAGGATTTCAATTCGGTCCTAACCACAAAATTAACCATGTGGTGCTAGCAGCACTGAAAATTCCGTAGTGCGATCACTTGTTCCCAAAAATGGGCTAGTGTCAATAAAAAATAATTTCAGCAAGCACTGCTAAATGCACTAAAGGAATGAACGAATATGAGCGAGCTGGCTTGAATTTGCTCAAAGAGCTTAGCATCTTGGCACTAAAATATAGCATTAGCGCCTTTCCACACTACTGCACAGAATACTGTAACACGTTCTTATATTTTATGCAGTGCCAACGGGACAGCATGTTTTGGTAAGCACATTTTTTAAAACCTCGTTGATTAATCATGATGAGATATGTACAAGTTAACTTATTTTCCTTTGCAGTACCGGATTTACTGCAATGCATCCCATAGCTGACGCGAACACTTATTTGATGGTGATATGCACCCCATTGGCGAATGCGTTTTTCTGCCCACATAATGATAAACCAAAGGAATTAATACAATCTCCTACCGAATGTGCTCAATTTAGAAAATCTGATTAATAGATTACAACTATTACCAAAGTACACGGCTTGTTGAGTTTTACATGTATGCAATTCTTAATATACCTTCCTAATGTTTTATTTGAAGGTGGTTAGAGCCATTAAAGCTTACTTCGTGTGGTGTTCTGGGTTTAGTCAAATTAAGCTTTTGGGTTTCGTCTAGGCGATCCATTAATGAATAAATGCTATTGGGCCATTCCAGCACTGTCTGTGCAAAATCTGGCACGGTTGTTAGAAGCTCATGGTTTTTCATCTTTTCAAGATCACTATTGCGCGCCATGCCCAGACGTACATTCCAAAGGAGTTTGAGTGCTTCGTCGAGTCGCCTTGATGGATTCCACGATATCCACCTCATGACAGCAGAAAAGACGGTCAATTCATTTTTGCAGTTAAGTGAGTCATTTTTGATAATGGATTCAACATCATCCGCCTCCATTTGAAGGAAATCTTCGGATGGCCATACAATTTCAAAATTTTCCAAAATCTTTTGAAATGCCATATCACCGATCTCTGGCCAAAAGAGCAACCGTCCGTTTAGCCAGAGGTTGATCGCTGTCGATGGGTCATTTGAAAGTTCCTGAATATACTTCGCACACTCTTCCTTTAGCCGCGGCACCAAAAGATAATCAGCAGCTATAAACACATCATAAATGTTGTCCGTCGTGATAGAAGTAAAACCGCGTCTGATGTACTCAACCACAGAATTAAAACCAGCATTGAGAAATTCAGGCAGTCGTATAATTCCCCGTCCTCTATGATACCGAAGTAGCCTCTCGAAATAAGCACTCTGTTCAGCTAATTCCACCGTCACAATACTGCAAATATCACCAGACTCCATAAACTCTACAGCCCGATCGCATAGAAAGTCTGTTTCGCTATCTTGAGAGAGGCGTGACTTATCCTGTCTGGAGTTGTTAAACGGAACACTGGAGTTACGTCGCCTTGTGCCGTTTTGCTCCATCACTGCGGACCGACGTGCATCACGCTGCCTCACATCACTTGTTGGTCGACGCATCGGTGGCCTACAAAACCGGTATTCGGATAAAAGTATTGAATGGTGATTAAAATAGTTTGATTTATTGGGGTGAAATACTGAAACTGCGTGACAGAAAGGTGGCTGTAAATGCCCTCGTGACTTTCAAGCTGCTTTGACAGTCGATAATCACGCCTTTCAATCGATCCGGCCAATCAGCTGTACGTCTTGTCTCTGCCGCGAGAGTTGTCCGACGCTTGTGTTTGCGTATTTGGAAGAACAAATGACACAGCTCAAATAACTTATTCAATGAATTTAATTACAAATCGAAAATGTGGTTTTCAATGTTTTCATCTGTGCCTGAATCGTTTTTGGGTGAAGCACGTATTGCAACTGAATTTTTTATGAGACAACGAAGTTTTAGGTGAAAATGACTTTTTTCAACAATAACATCCTTGGTAAAGGTGAGAAGCTTATTGAAACTCTATCATCTTATTAATTTTAGTGCACTAGCTGAAAGTGTGGATTGAATTAAAGTAAACGTGTGGTATAGTGTAGCATCCTGAGTCCTTTCCAAGGCTAAAACGAAGCACACTGATAAGATGAGAGTGGATTTTGTAGGCTTGTAGAAAGGCTGGGAGTTCAAAGGCACAGCCAAAGGGCCATTAGACCAACCTGGAAGTACATTCTGCGGATATCGAAGAGCCCTTGTAGTTAATTATAAACTTAAGCAAATATCAAGTCATTGCGTAGTCTCTTGAGCTTCGTCCATGGAGATACCCATTAATACCCTACTGCTTCGGATATCGTAATATCGTCTGTGTTTTAAAAACGATCATTAAATTTTCACTGGAACCAGATGACATCTACCTTCTTCGTCTGTGATGCATCTTTTTTACCGTATTTTATCCGGAGTTTCGTCATTTGTGACCCGCAACGATGTTCTACAGTGCGTTAAATTTGTACTTCTGTCGCCAGTCCAGCAAGCATTTGTCTGAAAATGGAGCAATTGAATCAAGTGCCAAATTTAAAGCGGCTTCACGGTGGTACTACTCAGTGAATTTCATTTACCTGCTTAAGGGCTAGAGGAGATAGCGTTTCTTCACGCATATCACACGTTTTTAGCCAGGTATTGCCGAAAGACCCCACAATAAACATTTCCAAAGTTTCATATCTCTCCAGATGCTAGTTAAAATTGATTGCAAGAAGTAGACGTGACCTAAATAAATTCCCCTATGTTCATTTTTTCGAAAACCAAAGATTGACAACTAGCCGAACATATCAGAATATCTGGTCTTGTGGATCGAGTTTGCTTAGGGCTACCACAGATGCACACTTTGAGTCCTCTCTAAAGTTGTAATACGCCAAATCAGAGGGGATAAGAGACTGCATGCATGCCAGAAGGTCCTGCCGCCACTACAAAAGTACAATCCGCAAAGACCACATAGCCTGTTTTGTTCAACATACGTCAAAATGCATAGCAAACCACAACGACGCATTAGGTTTGCAATATGGCAGCCTTAAAAGTACTGAAGAGCTATAAAAATGGAATACATTTAGTGAGACAAAGTTTTGAGATCTTATCATGCAGCAACTTGGGTTCTTTTGAGAACGCCTCACCAATTACAAAGTGTTGTGGGCGTCACTTTGGCTAAACCGCAATATTTAGCGGAAGAAACGGTTGATTAAATGACACTAAATTAGAAGTCACCATTCTTTTGAGGACACAATGTGCGTGTCTGCATACTGCCAACGCATCACACGGTCGTAGGAACAACCGAAAGGAATGTTCATTAAATACTTGAAGCATCGAATAAACTTAAAAAGCACAGATGTGACATCACAGGGATTTACGCAAACTTTTCAAGCATTGTCTAAGTGTCCCGGAGGTGAACACGAGGCACATAGTGTTTACTTATCGCCATTGTGGACTCACTGACGCACAAACCACTGAGTCCTCACTGCATGAAAGCAACGCGAAGGCGTCATCGAGAGAACTAGTGTGATTTATGTCTCAGTAAAAGCGGAAGTGATCGTACCAGTTGTTTGAGCACGTAAGAGAGCATACTTGTCTGTAATTGAGCCTGAAGCGCTTCAGTCAACACAAAACGCTGAGTCAATTTTTTCTTGCTCCTTAATTTACAAGCCATTAGCACTATGCCAGCATTAATAGCATAAATTTGGATGAAACACGGATTTCACGTGAAGCGCCGAAGAGCAGCCTCAATGCCAGGTACTCGAGGCTGCGCTTACAGCACTCACCTTAAGCGAGTCACAGAAAACGAATTTTAGCCAATGATGTATAGAATAAAATTACCACGGGATGATGTTCTAAATTTGTTGATAACGAGAAATTTCTCCACTCCGGTGAGAAAGGTGAGAATTCAGCTAATCATGATTGATATGGACTCAAGTCATTAGGAGGAATACACATTTAAACACAATACTTTCTTGAGATTATAAATATGATGTGTTCGCTCTAGTAAGGCAGAGTAGGTACGAGATATTGAAAATAGGAAACTATAATCGCTTAATTACTTTAATGGTATCGAAAACAACCCAATGTTCGGTTTCAGTTTATTAATTTGACTGAATACAACGCCAGCCAAAACTAATGAACTACACCATCAGCATGGGCACTGCTTGCCTCGATAACTTTGCATTACAGCATCGCGAATCTGTTTAGATGACCAGTCTGGATGCTGTTGCCGTAGGCATCTATAGGCTGCGTTGACGAACTTCAAGTACTTTGAACAGGCCGAATTTTTGCACGGACTATTGTACTTTGCCTTTAGAGATTGAGCTCGTTTCTCATAGATAGCTTTTTGTTTAGCATCCAATTGCCGCCACTTGCCAGCGACTAGTCGCGAAAAGGCCACCAAATCTCCGCAGTAGCAGGACTTCATTGATTGCAGGAAGAGGGCGTAGGCACCCGGAGGTCGCTTTGTCTTGCACTTAAGTGAGTCCCTTCTACGTGGCCGCTTGACTTTCCTTGGGTTGCATGAGCGTAAGGACGGCCGGCCCATGTCGCAACAGCAAACTGGACGAGACTTTGCGCATCCCATGGCTGGTTAAATATTGATCAGTTCACACGTGATGCCTCTTTGAGGATGGAAGCGCCAAGAGGGTTGGATGGGTGTTTCAAGCTCTGCGGCTCTGCATTCACTGCCTCCATCGCGTATGGATCAATAGCAGGCTCGCTCTAAAAGTTGCCACTACTTTCAAAAGTGTAAGCTGCATTGATTTCAAAAGTTATGTGGGATTAAGTGGATGAAGTCGCGCGCCTTTAATGCTTGAAATGATCAATGCTTGAATATAAACGGTACGAAGGACGACTCCCAGTCGGCCAATTAATTCGTGCGTTCTCCACAATCAGCACTTTCACTTATGGCAACATAAATCGCAGATTTTCAGCTACTAGATGTCCATTTAATTGAACCTTATCGACAACCCAAAAGCAGTAACTGTGCTCGATTTTGCTAAAGTGCTGTCGATTTGGGTACGTTAGGTACTTTGCAAAAAATAAAAATAAAAAATTCCTTGCTGACTTTTCAAAGACTTGAAAAAAAAAGAGTTCTAAATATAGCAGCACATTCTTCCATTACCTTTTGGATTCACCTATTACCAAACATACTCAACATTCACGCGATTTCATTAGTTTTACGCATTATTTCTTCGTCTTTGTTTGTTGCTATCGTTCCAACCATTTTCACGCATAACTGCTTATGTGAATGCAATGCGTTGGTTGTTGAACTCTCAGTTTTGGTGCAGGAGCCACTTAGGGACCCCGTCACTGTATCCTTACCCGTCAGGCTGGCCTCTGGGCCGTCGCAACCCCCCGGCTCTTCTGGAAATCTCGGAGTGCTGCATTACTACTTATAAACTATGAATAAACTTTCATAAAACACTAATTATTGTTAAAATTAGATGCGCTTTTCACGAATCTTGGTGGGGCTGCAGCCGCACATTTAATTAAAACTCGAATTCCATTGCTGTTGGAAGCTTAACACATTTGAAGATGGGCATCAGCGACTTCAAGTCTTGAAGTCGCCTTACCCACCTTAAGGCAGTAATCAACGTATCCCTTGTCAAAAAGAATAAAAGTATGGCATTCGTTTCAAAAAATGGTAATTTGTGACGAAAGACTTGAAATCATCCATTTTGCATGAGGTACACTGGACTAACGTAGGGGACTGCTCTTAAATCCTGGACAGCATTGTATCTATTTTTCTGCGTAATTACGAATTAAATATAGCGCTAAGCAATGCTGCCATTCATTCAATTGCTTACTCGTACATTCATTCCCGATTCATTCATTTATTCAGTCACAATAAGCAGGATCATGTATGAAAAGGTCAATTCATGGCCATTTAGCTGTTCCATGGAATTCCAGAACAAGTACCAAGTACTGCCAGCTGAGTTGAGTAAATTATAGAAGAAAAGAAATTACCCTCTGGGGTCTCAAAAAAAAATTGCAGTCCACTGGTAGCCCAGAACAAAAAAAAAAAACGCTTATTGCGCTTGCACTGTGCAAGTAAGTTCAGAGTGAGTTGAATAAAACCGGAGTAGGCCTAAGAATAGCTATTTTTGCAACAATACACTGACTTTAACTTTTTGCTCGATAAGTTAGCCAACAGGACCATACTGCACGGAAGAGTAAGTCAAATGGCAGTTTTGGTTCCTGTTAGCCAAGTGGGTTCACACAAGGCGAATAAACGAAGCTGGTCTTATTTAAGGCCTTACTTTATACAATACCGTTCAGACCTTGTGAAACTTTTGAATGGTTGAGTACATTATGGAGTTGGCAAATAAACAGATTGGTTACGCAAACGCCGAACCTGGATGACTAAGGCAAGCAACATGGCAAACACCTAAAAAGGGCATTGTTACCTTTGCCAGGTATGATTCAAGTTGTGATTTCTGACAAGGTGGGCGTTTGGGCGTTGGAGACTTTAGATGACGCGACAGGCTAGAACACAAAGGTACGTAAAACCACGAGGTGAAGTTACGGGTACCACACTGTGGAGATTTTCACAATCAACTGTAAAAATCCAAGTGAACGTAGATGTGAGGACGAGGTATTCTGCGTATTCAAATTTTTGCTACTAGAATTGGGAGACCTCAGGTGGTTATGAAAGTAAACCAAATCCAACGACGCGAGAATCTGTGCATGTGTCGGATGTAGCAATAGTCATTGGTTAGGTATATCAGCTCCAAAGTCGGCTGGAAAAAATGCAGTACAAAAGCATCAACTTCAGGATAAGACTTTGTCTTCTCGAATAGTTAATAACCCGGCAAATTAAACGGTTTCATTAGGGCCAAGTTACGGAAATGAAGATCTGCATATGCAGAAGCTCAAGTTAATGCTAGTTCACCAGTAAGATGGCTTTCGACGAGTTCCGGCATCACATATGGGGGAGAAACGTGAGGAGCCACCCTGATGAATGTGACTAAAATGTATAGGGTAATTATGATACTTCACATTGCTACTCATCCCTGGTGTAATTACCCGGTCAAGTCCGACGTAACGAGAAGAGGTGGAAGACTACCAATTAGTACTGCAACATTGCTGCTTGTCTGATTTAAGTGGCAGACGAACCACTTGATAAAGTTCGATGTTCTTGCGACCGACTTTACTATTTGTCCTCTAGCAACCATGGCTGCCTTTGAGTATGTTAAAACACCTGGAGACGCCAATTCTAATCATCGAAATTTCACAACTTAACCATCCCAACGGTCTTGGTCAACTCTCCACCAGGCCAAGGACAGAATTCCCACTGCCAGTGTTGTTATACACAAAAACCAACAAAAAATATGCTGAAAAACTGCCTTACTACAAGGTCTTTCCACTTACAAATTCGGGCAGCGCAATGATGGACGCTACGTACCAATACCGATCGTAGAGGCAATTAGATGTCTGTTGCCTAAGTAATGGAAGACGCGATGAGGAGTCCACAAGCATCTGTGACGGATGTTAAACAAAGCAATTGATTGTAATTTGTCTACAAAGTGGAAACTAGGAGGCAACTCCACTGGAAATGGTGGTGACTCATATCGTGACCCTCTCTGCTGCACTTACCATGCCTTCAGCAGTAAGGTGATTCACACCCCAGTATGGGGTAATCAGACGGGCCGAAAAACCATATATCCACCTCACATTGCCGTAGCAGCAAAATAATTTACGAGCATCACAGATGCTGTTCAGCTTTCTTCTTCTGAGAATAAGTCTATTGCTAAAGCTCTTATTGCACAATTTTTGAGTAAAAGAAGAGCTCAAGTTGATCAAGCACTTCCCAGGTCAAGCAGTCCGCAAGTATGGAAAAGTTCTTATTTGCACCACACAATTTACCCGTGCAAATGTATATCGAAGTACTACTAGAATTCACATTTCGGTAGCCCTTTAATGAATCGCGATTAATGATCGTCTTTTAAATTAAACCTTAAAAACTCCTATTATTTAAGAAGGTTACACAATTCTGCAGTTGAAATTGCACCAATTATGCCGTATTCATACAGTAACTCTAAAGAAGAATAAACGCGTCACTTTGCAATTCTGACGTTACCAAAACTGGTCCGGTAGAGACATGTACCGGTTAGGGGTTAGCATTACGAAAAAGCACTTACTTAGGCAAATCATTAGTCAACCAAACAAGTCGAACACGACATCTCCGAGAGCTCAAATGATCAATTCAAACCTACTGATAATATACATACCCTAAAAAAGCATCATGAAAGTTTGCGATTTTATCACCAAGATAGCTCATGCACAAACAGTGTGTCCGAGGGACAAAGTCATGCTGCAGATAGTCCTTCTTGCTAACGAGTGCTGGGGGATATATGGAGGGAACTTACAAGAAACGAAGCGCAAGCCTGAGAACTATCTATGGTCCGTTTTATTCCCTTCACCCAAAAATAAAAGTCAAAAAGCCGCCAAAGGGATACAACAGGTGACGTCAGCTATTGCGATGCATTCAAAAGCGATTGCCAACTAACCACTTGTAACAGGCTCCATTACATATAAGGATGGGTGAATATGTGTGGGTTAATCTTGACCTTCTAGCGAAGCGCAGGTAAAGAAAATGCGGATAGAGCAGTTCGAATTTCACATCTTTTGCATGCCTACCTACCCCAAGAGGACAAAATCCGCAAGAGTTGAGACAAAAAAACTCGTGCTCGATTAAAAACCTCCGGTAGCAAGTAAATTCCTAAACCTTCCAGGAATGAAAAAAAGACTAGCAAACATTCAACACTCACGACCTTTCAACAGAAATAGATGGACGGCACCTAGGAAAACTAACATGGCCATACGTATTCCATTTGAATCATTTTCAATTTGTTGATCCCTGACTGAACAGAGACCTGAAAAGTAACCAAGGAAGCGCTCGACGCATCAAAATTGAATGATGGCTCGCGCTAAGGAGATACCGCCAACTAAGAAGCGAGAAAGTTGAAAGAGAAAATAATTAATATAATTCACGGTCGTTGAAGTAGCCCAAAAGACACCACAAAGACAGGAATATAATGTAGGTGTGAAAGCGGATGATAGCGGAACGAAGTAAATAAAATATTCACATGTTGGGGTTACGGACGCAACAGTTTAGTGGAGTGAAGGAACAAGACCACGTGCAAAAAAAAACAATGGAAAAGGGCATGTGCGTGCCGAGCGATCGATGAGCGCACTTACCGAGGATGGAATATCTGATGTTCACTCAAACAGTACAATAGTAACAGTGACTCAGAAAGACAATATCATGAGTTATTGCAACATGGTTGGGACTCAGAAAGAGGGAATGTTGGGTAATTAGATGTAGGTAATCCGTTTGAAACTGCATACAAAGCAAATATTAACAGCAGCCACTTGATGTTCCTTTGGGCGGGTTAGAAGCAGAAGCCGAGGCCCCTGAAGGATAGTTGTGCGGACCTATTTTGATACCATTAGCCTATAGAATAGGCGTCAGAAGCAAAGTACGCAATACCTCATTGTTTAGGTCCAAAATACCCTCTTGAATTTTCTTGTTTATTGATTTAGCAGTTTCAATAAAGGCTTCCTCAACATTTGCAGCCGTCTTTGCAGATGTCTCCAGGAAAATAAGTCCATGCTCTCGGGCAAACGCCTCGCCTTCTTCTTTTTGCACGTCTCGACGACTTTCCAGATCCGACTTATTGCCAATCAGCATTATAACCATATTCGAGCTGGAATGCTGTTTTGCATCCTCCAGCCATGATGTCAAATGCAAGAAAGTATCGCGACTAGGAAAAGGGGTAAATGGCTAGAAGTTCCTTACCGGGTGATGTCATAAACAAGTAGAGCTCCAGCGGCTCCACGGTAGTACGACCGTGTTATTGATCTAAACGTCTCCTGACCCGCCTGAAATTAAGTTAAGTAAGTCACGCAAATAACGAACCGTGTCCCAAATTTGAAGCTTAATCTGCTTCCCATCAAGAGTAATCATACGGGCCCCAAACTCAACACCAATAGTGAGGTCGTGGACAGGTTGGAAACGTTTATCAGTAAATTGTAGTAGAAGGCAGGACTTTCCAACGCCTAAATAAAAGGTAAACTAGCGATTTCCAAAGCAAACCAGTATCACCGATGATAATGTACTTGAACATATACGAGTACGACATTTTCCAGGAGACTTGTGGTGAGCGCCGCCAAGCGAAAAAAGCTTTAAACAAACACTACGTGCCTTTTTGTTCTTATCTAATTTTCATTGTCTAGCAGAATCATGAAAAAAAATTTATCTTAATTTTGTTACACTTTGACGTGTGCGTCTAATTAAAGCGGGCGCTGCAAAAAATGCTGCGTCTCGTGTTCGTTGTGCTGGCGTTCCTTAGTAGGTTCCCCAAAAATGCGCTTTTGGCGCCGTCACTCCTAGTTTATCTGCCTTCAGTTTGTTTAACTTAATTGTGTGATCGATGGCCTCACGTATTACTTCTCTGCGCAGTCGTGGAGAACGTTGGTGAATCGACGTTCTAGTATCTGCAGTTTATTTCGTTTGTTATACATGCGCTGATGCTTTACCTATTGCTTTAATACGCGTGAATATAAATAAAAGTTGCGTCATGAGGGTAGAATCAGGTCTGCAATGCTTGATGTCATGATACATCATTTTGTCTCGTTTTCAGGCATTGAAATCTTTTGTCAAGAGGTGGAAATAAGCGATGAGGAATTATTTGTACAGCCACAGCCAGCACCTAGCGAGGAGTTGCACGTATGTTTTGGATTACTAAGTGCGGGCTTTTCAAGTTATGGCTTGTATTTCATTCCATTATACTTTCACAAGAGTCTTGTTGTGCAAATGTTAGCGTCTTGCAGTATGCAGCCGAGATGTGTAGAAACTGATGTTTGGTACTTATTATCACGTGCAGCTGCACTCAATTGCATTAATTTGAATTAAACCTGTAACTTTTAGATAAATGAGAATGATTTCTACACGGGCTCGCCCGATATGAGTGCCATTTTGTCTTTTGTGGATCCACCGTTGGGCCAACTGGAGTCCCCAAGCTCAATATCTCTTGTAGCAGGGAAGCCAGCTAGTTTCATTGTGTTATTGGAGAACAGTCGAAATAGTTCTAATTCATACTCCCTGCAGATCCTTGAGGCCGCTCTTCATTATCCAAGGTATTTTGGCTACCATATTCAAAATTTCACTGTCCAACGCCTCCAGAACACCTTGGAACCGAAACAGCAGGTTAGTCTTGAGGGCTTAGCCCGGGAATGAATCGTCAACCTTTTAATCTTGGGTACTCTTTTACTTATGTTTTTGTTTTACATAATGTATTTGTTTTTTTTTTTGGTTCTCATTGTAGCCATTATGCCGATTATGTTCCTTTTTTTGTTTTAGGCCAGTCTTCATTACACTTTTGTTCCAGCAGCAGAACTCACAGGGCAGCACTTTGATTTAGCCGTCATTCTGACGTATCACGATCAAACTGGCAAACTTTACTCCCATGCCCTCTTTAATGAAACCATTGCGGTAAGCTCACTTATGTGAACACGCGCGCGATACTTTCCACCTAGCTCAACTTTTGATGCCAGTGATCAGCTGTGTGTACACTTTCATCACGGTATCACTTATTCGTACATTGAGGACTTTCTTTTGGTCTATTTAGAGTCTTTCGTAATGGTGTGCATTAATTCTTGTTGGGTGTAGTACCCATTTAGCTGACAGAAACAAACATTGACCTAATCGGACTAGGTGTCTACTTGTTAACGACTGTTAATCTCATTCGTCCGCTTATATGTTTCAGTTTTTAGAAGACGCAGAAGGAATGGATTTTGAGCTAATATTCCTCGGGTTGATGATAGTTGGTGTCTGTGTTCTCGTTCTCATTTTTATTTGGCATTGGATCTCCAAAAAGGCGGGCAGACGACCACATGGTGGCAAGCCAGGACTTGCTTCCAACGGGACTGATGGCATGAGGCTCAATGAATACGTAACAAAGAAGTCACCCCGTCAACCTAATTCAGGAAATGGTACTATTTGACGACCTTTGCTGTCCACTGAGCATGCAGGTTTAACTCTGATTTGCAATTTGTAGTTTCCGAGTCTTTCCAGAATGAGAATTTTAGAGATGGAAACCACTAGTTCAATTGTAATTTTACGAGGCTACTTGAGACTCTTGCTGATTGTTTAGTAACTGTACCTTATAGGAAAATTACCCTGAGCTCCAGTTTATCGCCACATTCGGTTGTGTTCGCAAAATTGCGGCATAACTTTCATCGTTTATTCTACTTATTGATCAGTCCCGCACAGATATGAGGCTAAATGTCAGTCATGTTTCATGTGTTTAAAGGGGTAGAACAATCAGATTAAGCTGTTATTTAGCAGGGCGTTTTTGCCCCATATCTTTGGGATTATTTGAGTCATCTGAATCCCATTCGTTTTTTCAGGAAACGTTAACTCCAAAATGAAGCATCGCCAAGGCAAGAAGTAAGCTTGTATTGAATATTCGTGCACTCATCTCTTTCAACAACACCTCTTAATCTTCCTCATCATTTCTGCCTCATTTTGAGTCGCATGTTTGTGTCCCCCTTTCGGCGTTTCTTACGCCCATTGGCTGTTTATGACCTATACGACTGTTTCTGTGCTCAATGCATTGTATAGCAAAAAAGGTACACTTTGGTAATGATTCCGACTTTTTGCAAAAGTTATCAAGGCGATCATTACTAGTACTTGGAAAACGGATGCATCCAGGCAGCGTAATTACTTTATGAACTTAACCCAGAGCGTGGTTTAGTTGGGACCCTACGGGGGCATTCCAATCAGTCCTAACATCTGAATTGACCATTGTAATTTTAGCAAACTAAATCCAATTCATTGGGTTGGATTTTTAACCAGCGCACCGATTCAGCCAGCTTTGGTACTGACCCACCGCCCAGGATACTGTTTTGAGCAGAAGCCCTCCACCACCGCACCACTTTCGTGGTACAAAGTAAAAAACCAAGAAAGCACGATTTGTTGGTGATTCAATGCAATTTGTCTGTAAGTGGGGAATAATTCAACCTCCTATACAAGGTCTCAGGCAAATAAGGCCTCTTCATCAGGGGTCAATTTAACGCTGCGCATAAATTCAGCTTCTTGTTGATGCCTCCCGGACTTGAGGATGCTCGCCACAGGTTGTGTTTTTTGGATGGCCTCGGATCGGCCAGCCGGATTGATCTCCGCAACCTTCAGTGTTACTTGGGGATCGAAGTTCATTTTGGGGAAGACGCGCTTGTAGAGCGGCATGAGGACGACGTCAGAAGCGCTAAGTTGATGGTCGAACAGACACTTCATCAGACCGTGTGTACCCACTGACTGCTTTATGTGACCCACGGCTCCGGATTTCGTGTACAGTTGAATGGGCTATGTAGGAAGCATACAGGAAAGCGTCGTATTAAGTTACGAATGAATGGAAAACACCCTCGATATCCAGGGTTATTACTGTTGAACCCAAACTTCTGTAAAAAGTGGCCTAGATCATAAATTCCTGTTTGCTTTCCACTCGAGCACTTGTATATAAAACAAAAATAGTGCTAAATAGTGCCTAAATTCATGCTTATCACATTGCTTTCGGAAGGAGATGGTCAACTCTAAAATTGGAACAGTAAAAGCGAGAAAGGGTAAAGCAAAAGGCATGCCTTGAAGTATTCAACATCTTCTGGCGTGTGAAACATGTAGCGAACGACGGCCGATCGCTTATTAATTTTGTAGGGATGGCCTGAGAGGAGAATGCGCTTGACAATGGCCCTTGTGGGATCGACGGAGAGGACAGAGCCGGTGGCTACCAAACGACTTACTGCCATTTTGGGAATATCCTGCAACGGAGACAGAAGCTTCTAACAACCTTACAAGTTAGTTCTAGGCTATAAGCTGAAAGGCAAGCAAGATGTTACTTAACGTGGCGAATAAAGCCTTCAGAATCGGCGACGTGCAAAACTTTTTACGGAACAGACAGCGATAAAGGCGTAAGCGAATACACACTCCAGTACAGAAGTTGGAATTAAAAGCATCGAAAGACACGCAGCATGACAGTAGCCTAAAACGTGTCTAAATGTCACAACGAATGGTGGATTAATGAGAAAAGGGCAATTGGAGCTAAGGGAGGGGGAAGAGGTCGCGGCGCACCTTAGCAGGTTCGATACGGAACTGCAGAACGGTTTGCGGGGCGTAGACGACTGGCGCGTACATAGTAGCGACGATGGGTGAGGAACTGAGGGTGAAAAAGTGCTCCATCTTGGAGTTTGTGTTAGCTGCCTTGTTGGTCTGAGAATAGATGGGCGAAGCTGTGAAACGTCGGATGCCCACCTGTTCCGAGTGAAATCAGACGTCAATTATGTGGTTCAAAAAGACCCCAATGCTTCAATGACAATACAATGACGACTAGCGTGTCGGCGATGAAAGTCTTAATAACCTCTGTTGGTAGAAGGCAAATGCGTCATACTTTGAGCATAACTCTTCAGTTCCCTTTCATGGATAAGCTTGTAGAAATACAAAACACTATTAAACCAAGAGCATTGAAATTTGTTTTAGCAGCTGCATTACCCTTATAAATTAAAAGCAAAATATCTACAAAAAATGGAAATTGCACGGAATGCAGTTGCGATCCTAAATGAATCACCATTAAAAAAATGACAATCAAGGCAATAACAGAATCTCAATAGAACATGCGATTTCAGCCTAATAGTAGAACGACTGGAACATCACCAGAGATTTCCCACTTCAACTCGTAACTCAAGTTTAGAACCAATCCACATAGAGTTAATTCACACACAATGAAAGAAGTCAGGTTTCAAGGCAATAAATTATATTAATGTGACTAGTCTAGGGCGTCCCAATGACGTTTTGGATATGGTCTCATACTCTGCTTCATGGGTAAATTCCAAGGCGACTTTAATGAACTAATCTTTAACATTAACAAATTGGTACATGTATATAACAAGCCAAAAGTGTTCTACTTCTTTTCAGACTTGGAGGCACCTCACAAAGGTCATTTTGAGTCAAAAAATTAAAATATTTAGCCAATATTAAGCATTAAGGCCTCACAAGACGCACTTGACCATCGTAGGATATTCTATATAAAAATATGGATAATTCAGGTGAGATCATTTACCTGGAATAGCATGGGTTCCTTTGCCATGATGGGATCGGGGTCAAATTTATCACCTTTAGCGTCTTCATCCGTCGCTGATTCGAATTCCGGTTGGCGTTTATGCATGGTCAAATGTAGCACGGACATGCACCGTTCATAAGGCAGCAGAGACCACACAGTAAGAGGCCGAGACTGATTACGATCTGTGTGGAGTTCTATCACCGCTGCACCAAGCGTCTGAGGCACAGGACCCAAGGTGAGGCTCGTGATAGATCCCGACGGAATAAAGGTAGGCTCACTGGTCGTCTCCGAGGCAAGCTGTCTTAATAATCTCAATGTGTGCTTAATTAGGGTTCTGCGATTGTGAGTATAGTTTTCAAATCTACAAAAAACACGTTCAAAATGAAGTGCTACTGACGAGTCAATAATAGCAAGAGAGCCAAGAAGTACGACCAACCTGAATATTTTGCCGTATTCATAAGGAAGAGTGGTATCGTTATTCGTTGGCCATGTGCACTTACTGAAACTGGGGAGACCTCTATATTTTGTAAAACGTTCTCTCGCAGGTACATCAAAGGGTGTTTCCACCTACAAAGCAATATTTAACCAGGTATATATGAGAACTAATGACTAAAATAACCCTAAACAGATATTTTGAGACGGCAGACATATCGAATCAAGTCTGCATTCAGTGCATTACTAAGATGGTGTCGCACCTCGTCAGGAAATTGAAGTTCGGTTTTGGCTGCCTTGATTTTTTCTGCCACGGTTTTAGGTTTGGAGGCGGGAATCGCAGTAACGATTGATTCAGTGTTGAAGGAGACCACCTTACTTGATGCAGCCTCACCGTCGATGGCGTCGAAATAAATTGACTCATTGTCAGAATCCGAAGGTGTATACTCAACCTTGGCCTCCTCATCCCCCTCCACATCATCAACCACCATACGATCCTCATCTAAAATAGTAAATGAAGACTAACGCAATACGAAAGCAAGCAAAATTTGTTCTCTCAGCTGTTCCTAAGTTAGGTATTAGGTTAAGCATCACTCAAGGAAGCTGTAATACAAAAATTCGTTAATATGACAAAAACATCGGATTAATAGGCTTGAATGCAGTTTTCTGTTACACAAAAGACACGCAAACACCAATTTGTGACTTTTACTAAATTTTAACAGGAACTTGGTCATTTTAAAATGTTTGCTGACACACAAGAATCTACCTTTATCAGATTCGCCCAATTCTGCATAATCCTCATCATCACTTAATTGCAAATTATTCCACGCAGTGCTGAGCGCATCAGCCAGATATTCGTCCGGTCCAGATGTGGCCCTCCAGTTGAAAGACCGTGGAGGTGGCTGGTGAAGCTTCCTATTGGGCTTGTACTCAGTCCAGGTGGCCGATCTTAGTGGAAAATCACCCCATCCAGTTATGTGCATGTGGGGGCAGCCTGCGCGCCGTTGGTCAGCGAAGAATGTTACAAGGTCAAAGAGTGGCAGATCCCATCCACGAAGTAATCCTTCCAAACGCAAGTAGACTTCACCCTCTAAAAGAGGAGTTACTCAAGTATATAGAGGGAATTCAGATGGAAGTTTAACAAACAAGTGCTTGCCTAGAGAATTAAAAACACCACCATTACCAAACAGGACGTTCTATGCAAAGGGGAAGTAGCGTTAGATAGTAACATGACTTTAGCCGTTAGAAAAACACTAAATCGCGATTAGCTAAACTATCTAGGTCATCAAGCTGTCTGAGGTCCTAACCATAATCATCTCAGCCATTAAAATAAACGCAGATGTACATTTCTAAAGGCGGTCTATCAAAACCAGTCCCCATTACACAATCCACTTCAAGTAGAGCAATAACGAGTTCACTTACAAACACCTCAATAAGACATCAGTGCAGAAAGAATGAAAATCGAACAAAGAATGGGACTGAAAACTATATGAATAGCAGTCTACCATTTTCTTCATGTGGCATAACGCTAATCGCCTCCACCAGCATCCCACTACGAAGGCGTGTAGCAGCAGTTCCAGCTGTCAGTGCATTTTTTGTTACCAGATAGCTATTAGCTGTCGAAAGCGTAGGTTTCTTCTGCGACTGTGAGAGGAAGCGAAGGAGACTTTGCGCATCGCCAGTCGAGTTCAAAGCGCGCACTTTACCATCGCTGACTGAAAACTTCGTCTATTTAAGGATGCAATTAAAGTTGACAGGTGATTACACAAATTTGCAGACATGATGGCAGTTCTACTCACCTGAATCATAGAAAGAAGTTCTTTTCTATCCGAAATATTCGACATAACAACGAAAACTGAAGGCGGGAGACCCTGTGAATAGAGCGCTGACATTAATTCCGAGTAAAAATCGGGGTCAATTTTTGACATATCTCCTGGGAGAAAAAATATAATCCAGTCTGCAATGCGTGCAAGATCTAGGCATCCAAAGAGGTCGCCGTAATTCCCACTAACGAAACAGAAGGGCTTTTTGATGGTAGAGGCATAAAGATAGTCTGCCTTGTGTGAGTACTTCAGTGAATCAATATCAAATATTCCGTGTTTAATTGCTTTTGGATCACCTTTAGCAAGCATCACTTTTGCTAGTGACAAGTCGATACTGCTGGACAGCGGCAGTAAGAAGCACGTAATTGGTACCTCTGTTTGCTTTTGAGCTGCCAAAATCTAAGGATATACGTCCACGTGAGGAAACTACGACCCACCACTTTTGTCTTATGCAGCCGCTGCTGCTTAGCAAGAAGCTTTCTGGACCTTCTCGAGAGCGCTCTCTTTGAGACCCCCAATCCACTGTTGGAATTAATGGAAACAGACCTTTTTCTTCCTCCCTTGTGCCTTTTATTGGTTTGCTTCAGACTTCCGCTAACATGCCGTTGAAGACCCATTGTCAGCGTGATCTCAAACACGCGAATGTGCAAATGGGTCAAATGGAAATTAACCGTCCATTCACGGGTGTGCAATTGTGTTGTTTGAGTTGGTGATAATGTCATAAGATTACATAAACACATCCTACTGTGAGATTTTATTAAGAAGTATTTAAGTGCCAAGCTTTTTAATATAAAGTAATAATTCAACACAAAATCTACATTTAGTCGGATGATAATATTTAGGGACAATATTAAGCATGGCAAAATGTTTTTGCCTAAAATATCTTTGGATCCGTAGTAGCAAAAATCTGATGAAGCGAAATTTTCTAATACAAACGAAATAATAGCAAAGCAAGCTACAATACTCTTGTTAAGTTTATTTATACCCAGATTATTATGTCTGCGATGATAATTGTTAATTACTTAGGAGATGGTTGTCAACTTGTTTACGAAAGACCAGGTCCACTTTGATCTCATTTCAATTGTACAATAAAATATTATGGCTGTTATGATACTGATCCTAAGAGAACTCCTAGCCCTCACTTGATTCGTCAAAAGTTATGGTAGGACGGCAGAAAATACATTCTTTACGTACAGATGGGCCTACTGACATACCCTAGGGACCACGAAGCTTCGTAGGAGTGTAATATAGCGTTTTAAGACCCCCTGAAGACAAAAGAAGACACAATACTTGGACAGAATATATATTCAACACAGAGAAGGCATCTGGGCTACTGGCATGGCCCGATAGGCCAGCCCACCCAGCGAGGTACAAGAGGGCTAATTCAAAGTACAAAAGTGACGCCTCACTAGTACCGAAGGATAAACCACTATCGTGGTACAGTAATCTGCGGAAGTTTAAATCGCTGCCTAATGAAACACCCCTACTAAACAACCTCGAGGATCACTACACCCGCGGCACTCCTAGACTAACCAAAAGGCGAAAGGAGGCATAATGAACGGGCAGAATATGCATTGTCAACGAAGAGAAGGACACGGGCCTGCCGGCGTGGCCCAAAGGCCAGACCGCCTGAGGGACATACAATGACGGAGCCCCTAATTGGTCTGTTTCAAAAACCGGGCGTTAAACAAACACCTAAAGTATTTCAACAACAACTTTGTCATCTTTTAATGCTTGCGCATTGTTTATTCAGAGTCTTAAACAGATTTTATATTGAAGGTATCTTCGCCTTATGTACTTTTATGATTTTATTTGTTATCGGAAGTGGCCGGATTTTCTAAGGACTCGTAAATTCAAATAAATGGTATTTTAACCAATTTAAACATCGAAGCTTGACCTTTACGTGCTTAAACTATACGCAACGTATAATTTGTGGACAGTCAATTTAAGATGCAAGTTAATGATGCAGCCAAGTCAATAAAAATTGTTTATTAAAACCGCAACATAGGAGCTTATCACTGCATGAATATTATTATTATTCACTTAACACTATTGGAATAGCCTATATTTAGGCCATAATTGGAGCTAATCCTTTCTATACGGAGAAGTATCCCATTATCGCATTTATTAAGAAGATCACGCAGTAACGATATCTTATCCACGTGGTATCGAATATTGTAATAGTTTTTCTTGGGGTTACTAGCACTTATGCCACCTAAATTATAGCTCTCTGATTATTGCTTGTTCTGATGCACTAAGCTCTGATTCAATTTTAATTTTTATAAAAATCAAACACAGAATTAATCAGAGGTTGATGTATCCTCACTGTCACACCAATTCCACACTTTGACTGACATTAGGGCCATGCTGAAATCGCCTTTTGCCATGCATAATGGTATAGCTCCTGTGAGGCGGTTGGGCATGCGAAACAGGCGGGCAAGTATTAGTACTTCCCGACGGCGGATAAATGTATTCACAGGTGCTGTCACCAAAACTTAAGGAACATTGGCCATGATCCCACTTAAACTACGTAAGAAAGTAATATTTTGGATGCATTTTCCCGGGGGGCCATCGTTAATAAGGAAGAAGCGAAGCAACATTCCAAGCCAATCAGGACATCCGGACACGTGTGTGCTTTTGGCCTATGGTACCGCAAAACGATACCGAACATTAAAAGGTGATTGAAAAAAAGAGTAACGACGCCGTTAGCTAAGTGCTTATTGAATGAAATTTTGAAAGGTGATTGGCAGCCTGTGCACTGAACCATTCTGAATTCTAAGAGCAAAATCTGGTGACGGTTTTGAATTACGCAACTGCTTCCACCAATTCACTACGGTTATTCATCCATTATGAAGCAAAGGCAATTCCACAGAAGTATTGTATTTATTCTTTTTTAAAACTTTTATACTGATTTTCTCAGTCAAAAACTTTTTACCTTTATCTCTCATGTACCGCGAGATATTTTACGGTAAAATGACTAGTTGCTAGATGGATTTCATAAACTTGTAAGGGGCTATGAATATTCAAATCTGGTTTTGGTAATGTTATTCTCCTGAAAATTTGAGTTTGCTCATGTATTCGCCTGTGACAGGCGCAGATGTTCTCAATGGTGTACTTTTAATTGTACTTATCTGTGGCAAAGAAAACCGCACTCAAACACGATCTGCAAGCACTGGGCTCAGAGTGCATGGGGTGCCTAAAGTCATCGAAGAAACACCTACTTTGGCGTTTCTAACCTAATAAAGTCGTTTAACTACTCTTTTTATAGCCAAATGAACTCTACGTTAAAGCAACTTAACAGAACTACATCTAAAAAAGAAAATGAGAAGCAATTTTTCAAAGGAATATGCTTTGTAAATGTCAGATCTTGAAGTTAGCAATCTACCAGTTACTAAGAGAAAATTAGACTGGGTTGACGCTATAGGCGGGTGCTTTAGACGTCCGGAAAGAGATTGCACGCATAAAATACCACATTTGTAATGTGATTTCACATAAAAGTGGTCTTAGGCACAAAATTTGTAAGCATTATTCCTAGAAAATATCTTCCTTGGTAATTTTCCTACAAATCGTCGTTTTACACTTTACTTTAAATACATTCAGGTCCGTGTTTTTTAAAACAGTTTTTTGCAAGTAAGGGGTGTTTGCTTGCATAGCATTAGGGCTCTTTGCTGGGTTTCTTGGTCGTATTGTGGCGACGCGGTAGGAGGGTGTCCCTGGACATGTCGAATAAATCGTCGAAATCGTCATTGTTATTGATTTGATCGGCGAAAGGAATTGGTGGATTCAGGCTCGATTGAAGTGAGGGTGTCTTTGTTTTGCTTTGTGTGGTGATCCCTCGAGGTGATTGCGGCGGAAGACCCACTAGGTCCTAGAACGATGAATGCCTTTATATTCCTTGGAAAAATCGTTCAAAATATTGCTTGAAATTCCAAATTTTGGTAAAATTCGGAGAAAGTTTAAAATTCACTTTCAAGCCGCAACTTCTCGCATCGAAGTTTGATAATATTTACGAGTTTAGGGTTGGGTGGCTGTTTGTCACACAGTGCTGTGAATATTTGCTAACCGATCGGCTAATAACCACTTAAAGGTGTATCTTGTGAAACACTACCTAGGACTGCGATTATACCCCATGACAGGTTACTAGTGTATTTTCTTTTTAACAGATGCGTTCATGACAGAATCGAATTTTGACTGCAGTTGGAAGATGAGATCAGTAAAGATGGAAGTACTGGAGAAATGACTTTATGATGGATTGCATAAAACAACCAAGGTAGTTAAAGTGGTAATAGGTTTCTTTTCAATGAAAATGTTTTTTGAAGTTGAGATACTTGCAATAAAATAAAGTTTTATAGACAGGGGGCATCGTCATGACATCGGAGACAAGTACCTTGTCGTCTCTTCTGAACTTACTCCTGAGGATGTCGCAGTTAAAATGGCTTGCAAACTTGGAAAAAGTACTGCATTACAAAAGCAGATGAAGTGAAGGTGACACTTAGACTCTTTCTAGTAAGCATGTCCAGAAAAATAGGCGTAAATTAACCTAAGTTTTAAGAATGCATCAACACTTTAAATTTCATACACCCTTCACTCTAGCCACTTTTAACGTTGGGATAAATAGCTGTATTTTGGACTACCAGCTCACCTTTATTCAATAGACGCTTTGTGTTTTTCAGTCATGAAAATTAAGGCATTCCATCCCCCTGGCGAAAGTGTCGGAATTAGGCTTTTCTTATATGGTTAAGTGATTTGAATTACTCTCATCATTGAGTTCCCACTTAAAATAGTCAAACTAAAGAAATGCTGCTGAAACAATGGTGTTATTCAATCCAAAGCACCTGCTTTCACCCTTTCAAATACACCTTTACATGGATGTTTGGGCGCTCTTGGGTGAGAAGTGCAAATCAGATCTACTCTCGATAGCACAGAGTAATGGCGCATTCTTATCTAATCGCATTCCTGCAAGAGGGAAGTGTCGAAATTACCGCTCACCACAATAAGGGTCATGTCACCGCACGAGGCGTTAAATAAAAGCAGGGGATGCATGCGAACCAACTCGTCTAAACTTTTCGCCCCAGCCGTCGGCCATCAGAGCCACTTGGAAACGTCCGCTTGTATCTCGGTCGTTACCAATTGAGATTAGAAAAAATATAAAATTAGACCCTTATAAGTGAATCATATTAGGAATTTTCAATCCCTCTTGTAACCTCATCGTCACAAATCTAAAAAGAATGGACTAAAAGTAATGCAGGTATTACTTTACCGGATTAATGTTCGAGGTTAATTGAAGTGCGTCATTGCTCTCTCTTCGCGGTGCCCAAGATGTTGAAGGATTGTTTAGTGAAGCGAACTGTCCTGAATGCGATGGATTACGTCGTCCTTGGATCTGCTGATCCAATTTGGAACTGGATTCTGGCTGAAAAGTGGTCAGAGTCACTCTAGAGGCCGCTAGGTTCGATCTCAATTGCTGGGGTGTCTGGGACACATGACCCATTGCCATGTACACCATACCATTTTGGTCAACAATGTAATTTTGTCCGCCACCTGGTGAGCTTGACACGCCCGCTAGATAATCCTCAGAGGCCATATTCTAAGAAAAAACGCAATGCACATTATGTGAGAAATCCTTCCGTTGAGGACTTGATATAGACTGCGAATCTTCCAGACGTATTACTTAAATTTCTAAAGCCACAAAGACCGATATAAGTAACGTACTCATTATGAATTTTTACCATCTACCTTCCTGAATACACTTTCAAACTAGAGATGGCACATAATTTCAAGGGCTCTTTAAGTCGCACTGCAAAACTGATGCTACTCTACTTCACCTGCCTCCTTTGCCTAACACTTCATTTCAAAGTGGGATATTTTTGGCCTAATTAGAATTTTAGTGGACATTAAACTGATCCTAAGAAAAAAAACTAATGCTTTTTTTTAAAACCACAAAATAGTGACTTCATTTCACAAAATGCAGTTAATTTATTGTCATCAGACTGAGTGATAAATGGTGATCCCAAGATGTGTTGGTGGGTCGCATTAACCCAGAACCGATAGATTAGTAAAGTTAATATTTTTTAAACATCACATTCAGGTAGTTGTACTGGCAAACAGGGGCAAAACAAGCAGCCCTGTGACACTGGTGTGACACACGTGTCTTACATAGAACGATTCGGCGGAGATTATATTCGTTTTTCCCTCAGCCATCATCCATTTGCCTTGATTTTAATTCTGTCGAAAATCAGAGTTAATATATCTTACCTCTGCTGCAATAGTCGTGTTTTACTTTTATTTCTTTAGACAAAGTTCACCTGAAGTTTTATTCACGTGGCCAAGTATATCCCATACATGACGCTACTGCATTTTCGGTCTAACCCACTTCCTTTGGTCAGACAGTCTACTTAACTTATTGCATCCTGAAATTATTGTATGACTTTCTTTTTAAAACAGTAAATTTACAGAATTAGTGCTATAGCACAATTATTTCAGTTAGAATTAGTGTACTTTATGTAAACGCGTTTTCCCATTATTTTCACAATTTCCAAAATAGAATATTGCATAGTAGCTACATTTCATAAAATGAAAAGGGGTTTGAGAGGCTCGAAGTTGTAATGCCTAAACAAAACATAAATGATTCCACACATAAAATAGGTGTTACGTAGGTTACGAAAGCAATAAACGATCCAGCTGCCGAATGGAGTGGACGTAGCCTTCTTTAAAGTTCCTTTGTTTGAACACATCTGGCAGTAGCCTTTAAGAACACTTTACAGAAATCTGTGTGTAGCGTTGTAAAAA